CAGCTCTGACATATGTCTATGTTCTAAGAACCCTCTGAGCTCTGACAATGTGTTCTAACATCCCTCCCACTCCCATTATTTCTGTGTTCTAAGGTCCCTCCCACTCTGCCATTCTCTCTTCTATGATCCTCCTGCCTCCCTTCTCCACCTGTCTCTGCTCTCTCCCTCATCTTGGCCTCCCCATCCCCCTTTCCTCTCTAATTTAGCCCACAAAATTGGAAGAGAAGCTAAGGAACTCAGTGGCAGTGGCTGGATCTCAAGATGACCTTGATTTCTCCAAGGACCAGCACAGGATCAGAATAACCGACCCCTTGGGCCGCATTTACATAGAAACTGTTACATTTTTTTAGAAGTTAACCAAAAGCGCATCTCCAATAACTCCCCCACTCCTGTTAAGGCATCTAGCCCCCAAAGGCATCAGTTAGTGAGGAATCATGCCCCAAGAGAGATTGTCAAGACAGCCAGCACTGAACTCGAATCCCCATTCTACTAACTTGCTAACTCAGGAGAGTCTCCATGGGCCTCAGTTTCCCCATTTGTAAAATGGAGGGGCTGAATAGATGGTCTCATCTGTCCCCTCTGACCCTACATCTATGATCCTGTGTTTCTTCCCCTTTTGAATGTAAGTTTCTTGAGGGTAGGGACTGTTTGGGGTTTTTTTTCTTTGTCTTTGTACCCCTAGTACTCAGTTCGTGGCTTGAAGCAGGTGATTAATAAATGCTTATTGCTCAATGGTTTGGTTGACTAGATGCCCATTTCTACACTTTGACAGATCAAAGTGAGTTTAAATCTGCCTCCTGTGACACCTTCCTTCTTTCTTTGCAAATATGGAGAATCACAGGGAGTGGAACACCACTGATAATGTCAGATTTTTTTCGAGGTGTTGGTTAGTTTTTCTGAATTCTGGTTTTTCTCCCCTCTTTCTTATTCTTTGTTAAAAGGAGGGATATATTGAGAAATGCTGGTTATGTAAAAACAAAAGACATCAACAAAGACTTTAAAAAAGGGGGATCTGTCTCTTTGTCCCACAACCAGCACCCACCCCATTCTGCATTGGCCCTCTGGGGCCACCCAACAAGCAGATGCTGAATGACTATTTGGGATGCCACAGAGGATGATGCCCTCTGGAAGGAAGGAAGTGGGTTGGGATGAGATGCCTCCAAGGTCCCTTCAAGTGCTGAGATCCTGCCATTCACGATTTATTACTGCTTTAACTCTTCAGTGGCTGTTCTGGCTCCTAGGATGATGGCTGGCAGAGACCTTAAAAGTCATCTGGCCCACTCCTCTCATTTTACAATTGTGGGAAACTGAGGCCCAGAGGGCAAAGTGATGCAATCACACAGCATCACAGGATTAGAGCTGGAGGAGATCATTTAACCGAGCCCCTTCGCCAATAATCCCCCAAAGCCTCTCTGGTCCTAACACTTGTGTTTCACTAACATGGCCTAGCTTGGCCTCTTGTAGTCAGAATGTGAAAGCCAAGCAGGGCAGAAAGCAAACAGAGAGTGGACCAGAAGGTTCCAAAGGCAGACGGATTCTAGAGGATGTTGTCCTCATCCCCCCTGAGCTGGGGCAGGGGGAAGGGGCCACCAGAAAGGAATCTGCAGCTCTAGTCCATCCCCCAGCTCCACCTCTTGCTTGGTGAGCCCAATGGGCTCTCTCCGGGTTTTGTATCATGGGCCCTTCAAAGCCCCCTCTGCCTCTCTAAAGGAGCTGAGGATTCTACTGAACTGAAGTGAATTGAACGAAAGGCAGAGGAGATGGGGTGCTGGGTTCAAATCCAGCCTCTGACACTTACTAGCTATGTAACCTTGGTTAACCTCTCTGGCCTTCAGCCCCCTCACCTGTAACTCAACATCCCAGGCAAAGTGAGCCCCCTGAGTCCTTCAAATGCCATTCCTCCTCCTGTCCCAGAGACTTTTGCACATGCTGTCCCTCCTGCCTCTAAGGCACTACCTCTTACCTTTACCTCTTAGGACCCCTAATTGCCCCTCAGGGCTCAGCTCATTCCTCCCAGCTGTTAGGACCTCTGCTCCCTCTCCCCCCACCCCCATTGCTTTGTATTTAGAGTTGACGTGTGTCGGTAGAGCTCTTGGAGAACAAATGTTGGCTTTGTTTTATATTCCTAGTACCTAGAATGGGGCCAGGCATACAGTCAGGCAATAATTAATGTTTGTTGACTTATTGACCTAAGTTTCAGGCACTCAATCAATGCTTACGAATGAATGAATGAATGAATGACAGGTGCTTTCCTCTTTTCTCTAGTTGGGGAGTTCAGTGACCACTAGGGTTACACAGCTTCTGACCCACACACTCCCCTCTCCAAGAGGAGCCCACCTCTCCTCATCACTTAATCATCATCCTGTTTGCCCTTTTCCTCTGAGAGCTTTGAGGCATGCCAAGGAATGTATATGAGAGACCAGTGTTTGTTTATCAGAATGCCCAGATGCTGTGAAAGACAGAGAGCCTGGGTGGGGCATCTCCTTTGGCATCCCCAGGAGGGCAAGCTCGAGCCTGGGGCTCTGAGGCCTGTGCAAGGCCCAGCTTTTCCCCCTCAGCCTTCCACAAAAGGACCTCGGGCAGGGTCTCCCATCTAAAGGACAGCTCCCCTTGTTCACAGCAGGCCCCACACCAGCCTCTTCTCAGCAGACAGCTAGATTCCCTGCGACCAAGCACCTCACGGCTTCATCTTCATGGAGACATTCAAGATGGGGGTGAGGGGAGAGAAGAGGGTGGGCAGAACCAAAGGGAAGGCGAACTGTCCCCCTTGGGAGTCTGCTGCCACTTCTAATTAGCCCTTCTCTAGCTCAGGGCTCCTTGAACGGCTCACCTCAGCCGCCTCACCAGCCCTCTCCAACTCAGGAGTGGAGCAGTCAGTCCTTCCTCCTGCCTTTACCCTTCCCCTTCCTTCATTCCTCTCATGTCCTTTTTGTCTATCACTCTGTCTCATTCTCCCTTTCTGTGCCTCTTCCCCTACTGTGTGGGTTTCTTCTCAATCTCTCTCTCTCTCTCTCTCTCTCTCTCTCTCTCTCTCTCTCTCTCTCTCTCTCTCTCTCCCTCTCTCCCTCTCTCTCTCCTCTTTCTTCTTCCTTCCCTCTCCTTTCTCTCTCTCTCTCTTTCTCCCTAGATCCCTCCTCCCTTCTCTTTTATTTCTCTTTCTCTCCTCTCTCCCTCCTTCCCTTTCTCTCCTCCTCTTCCTCCTCCTCCTCTTCCTCCTCCTCCTCCTCCTCCTCCTCCTCCTCTTCTTCTTCTTCTTCTTCTTCTTCTTCTTCTTCTTCTTCTTCTTCTTCTTCTTCTTCTCTCTCTCTCTCCCTCTCCCTCTCCTTCTGTCTGTCTCCTTCTTCTCCCTCTCTTTCTCTCTCACAACCCTGGGATCTCCTTGGCCATTTGGAAAATAGCCAGGAAAAAAGGGAAGATGCTGGTAAGCCTGAACCATGCAGACCCCAAGAGGAGAGGCAGCTTCCCCCCTGGAGAGAGAATGTAGAGTCAGGCAGCCAGTGGCCCCTCCATCCCAAAGCACCTCCCCACTTGCTTGCCATAGCAGATATTCCACCACCATCTCTCCAAACCTCAATTTAATGTAAATTTTTACACTGAGAAGGCGCCATACAAGATTATCAAACATTATTAAACACTTTCAAACATTCACACTTGATTGCAAATTATTTTTATCAGATGATCCTAATGACAGTATCAGCTCCCATTTCACAGGTGAAGCTTAGAAAGTGCTTTTTCATGACAATATCGGAGGAAGGCATTGTCTCCACTTCATGTACTACTTGTCTGGGACTGAGCTGTCCTGCTGGGTGAACATCTGAGCACAAGCTCACCTAACCCGTTACATCTGGCTGTTCTTATGCCACGCTTCACGTTCCATAGAGCATCAATCCACCAGGAACCAGGAGTGTTTGTCCCACTCCCATTCTGGGAACAATCATCAAACCAATACAGTTATTCCTACAGGAAAGAGCATGACACCTGGCTGCCCTCCGGCGCCATTCACCATCCCCAAGACTCTCTACCCTGGCCACCACTGCCCTTTCTCTATGGTTTCCCTTTATTAAAATGCAAGCTACTTGAGGGCAAGAACTCCATGCATCACCTTTGTCTGTGTATCCCCAGTGCCTGGTCCACTGGAGGATCTTACTGAATGTTTGTTTCACTTGTTTATTCATTCGGTTTTAGAGGTAAGGAAACCAAAACTGAAAGAAATCATTTGACATGTCTATGGTCATTGTCCTTCTTCCATATCTGAGAGCCAGGACCCCAGAAGGATGGGATCATAGACTTGGTGCTGGGAGGGACCTTAGAAACCATCAAGCCCAATCTCTTTCATTTTCTAGAAAATGAAACTGAGGCC